CACTTTTCTGTCTCCCCCCGTCGGGGCCAGAATCCTCGTGAGGGGTGTCGAATTTTAGCCCTCCCAGGAGTCGAACAAGACCCCTCCAACGACCCGCGGGGCGCCCTCTCCAGGCCCAGGGGGAGGGGGTAGGGGGAGGGGTAAACCCCTCCCCGAAGGGGAAGAAGGGGGTTGAGAACAGAGCGGGCTCTCTAAACCACTCACGCCCAAAGGGCTGATGGGATTTATGTATGTGTATGTAGGTATGTCCGTATGCTTGTATGTTTGTTTGCTTGTATGTTTGTATGTTTGTATGCTTGCATGTTTGTGTGTGTGTGTATGTATGTATGTATGTATGCATGTACGTGTATGTATGCATGCATATATGCATATATGTATGTATGCATGCATGCATGCATGTATGTATGTATGTATGTATGTATGTATGTATGTATGTATGTATGTATGTATGTATGTATGTATGTATGTATGTATGTATGTAATGTATGTAATGTATGTATGTATGTATGTATGTATGTATGTATGTATGTATGTATGTATGTATGTATGTATGTATGTATGTATGTATGTATGTATGTATATATGTATGTATGTATGTATGTATGCATGTATTTATGTATGTATGTATGTATGTATGTATGTATGTATGTATGTATGTATGTATGTATGTATGCATGTATGTATGTATGTATGTATGTATGTATGTATGTATGTACGTATGCATGTATGTATGTATGCATGCATGCATGCATGCATGCATGTATGTATGTAGGTATGTATGTAGGTAGGTAGGTAGGTAGGTAGGTAGGTAGGTAGATAGGTATGTATGCATGTATGTATGTATGTATGTATGTATGTATGTATGTATGTATTGCGAAGGCCTGACGGCCGGTGCCGCCGACCCTGTTCGCAATGCGCAGCAAGAGATTACGAGGTTGCTCAAGGTCGGCTTGGCTGGAGCCCAGGGGAAGAGGAGTCCCAGGGGGGGGCGTCGTATCTGACCCGGGGGGGGGGTCGCTACCCCCCCCCCCTCCCGGCGGGGGAGGGATCAAAGGGAAGGGGCTTCCCTTCGACTCAATTACGAGGTTGCTCAAGGTCGGCTTGGCTGGAGCCCAGGGGAAGAGGAGTCCCAGGGGGGGGCGTCGTATCTGACCCGGGGGGGGGGTCGACACCCCCCCCCCCCTCCCGGCGGGGGAGGGATCAAAGGGAAGGGGCTTCCCTTCGACTCAATTACGAGGTTGCTCAAGGTCGGCTTGGCTGGAGCCCAGGGGAAGAGGAGTCCCAGGGGGGGGCGTCGTATCTGACCCGGGGGGGGGGTCGACACCCCCCCCCCCTCCCGGCGGGGGAGGGATCAAAGGGAAGGGGCTTCCCTTCGACTCAATTACGAGGTTGCTCAAGGTCGGCTTGGCTGGAGCCCAGGGGAAGAGGAGTCCCAGGGGGGGGCGTCGTATCTGACCCGGGGGGGGGGGTCGACACCCCCCCCCCCTCCCGGCGGGGGAGGGATCAAAGGGAAGGGGCTTGTATGTATGTATGTATTTATTATATTTACACAAATACATACATATATGTATATATAATATACATATATATATATATATATATATATATATATATATATATCCGCTTGTTGGGTCTTCGCAGCGTCCAAACCAGCCCGACGGTCCCCCGATATCGCCCAAAGATGGCCCACGAGGCCCCCCAGAGGGTTTGAAGACGGCACAAGAGGGCCCCAAGACTGCTCCAGAGAGCCCCGAGCCTGCCCACAAGAAGCCCAAGATGACCCCAGAAGGCTCCCAAAAGAGACCCACCCAAGAAGGCCATTGGAGGCCCCCCGAAAAGGGCCCTAGATGGCTTCAGAAGGCCTCTGGAGGGCCCCAGCCCCCCAAGACGGCCGAAGAAGGCCCCAGGACGGCCCAAGATGGCCCCAGGACGGCCCAAAAGAGCATCAAAAACGTCCAGACGGCGTTCTCCTAGGATGTACATCGAGCTGACCCGACGATCCTGGTTCCATGGGGCTCACGGAAGTCATGGGGCTCATGAAGGCCGTGGGCTCATAGGGGTCGTACGGTTCGGAGGGTTCATGGGGCTCACAGGGCCCAGGAGGCTTGAGGGTTCGTGGCGCTCGTGGGGCCCGTGGGTGCTGGGCCTGTGCACGCCTGACACTTCGTGGCGCGCACGGGAAACATCTCGCTGTGTTGTCGAACATGCTTATCGGGACTTTTCCAAGCTGCAGTGGGAGCAAGTGAAAGTCAACGTCGGAGAAGGCTGTAGCTGTGCGTCAGCGGTGCATTCCTTGCACTTGTACTCCCGTGTATTGAGTTGAGTTGCGTGGTAGTGCGCTCCGCATGTGTCTTGGCCACGCCGCGAAGGAAGCATGTGACCACTGCCGCGGCTGGGCGGCCGCGTCGTTCATGGGTGCTCATGTTTGACACGCTTTGTTTGAGCCACGAAGGCTCCTGATAATGCGAGGTGGCGCATATGGGATGATGATACGTGTGGGAGTCGTACGACTCGCGGGCCTCGCAGACTCTACGTTGGCTCCTTCAACTCGGAGGGGGCGGAGGACTCGTCAGCTCAATTGCGCGGTAGCCTGAAGGGGGTTCGTAGGTCGGCTCGTAGGGCTCCTAGGGCCCGTTGGATTA